ATTCCAAGTCATTCTGGAGATTTCGTCATTGCTCCCATTCGGGGTCCACTCTATGTTGAAGAAGGCGCCCGCCATGAAAACGACCCGCCGGCTTTGACCGTTCCCGTCTTTGTGACCACTTTGACGTATGTTGTATCGAAGCCCCACTTGATGAGAAGGTAGCGGAATGCCAAAACAACGAGCGCAATACTCGGGCCTCGATTGGCGCATCGAAGTCGCACCACGCCTTTCGACTGCAATCCCGGGGATTGCGTACTCTAGCGCATGCCTGTTGGAGGGCTTCGTGTGCCTTTCGTGCCTCGCCGAGCGTATCGAAGGCCACGAAAAGCATGTTTTTGAACTCTTCTTATGGCCCCTTGTTGTGCACCTTCTGTGCCCCAACCTCCCCTTCCACCAAAACTTTCTGGCACCACTCCGCGGCACTTGCTACAGTCGGCTGTGGAAGGCCACCGAGTACCAAGGTAGAGTCCTAGGCCGCCGCTGCTGCGGTTGAGGTGGTTGACTGTGGATCCTTGCATGCGTCTTCAACTCCGCAATGCCCTTCTCGATTCCTTCGATGCGCTTCCAGATGTCATCCTGTACCTGCGTGTCCAGCGTCGCGAATTCGTTCAGCATAATGTCCATGTCCTCCCAGAGCTGCATAATCTCATCTCGGAACTCGCCCAAATAATTGCCAACCATGTGCCGCAACTCTTGAAAGCCATGCCCCATGTGTTAAGTTGATTATGCGACCGGTGCCAAATACGAATCCAGACGTGCCTTCAACCCCCCATCGCCACTGGAGCTTGCGTATCATCACATGTCCCGGCCACGTCGTCGTCGAACGCCTTGTGCCTCCGCGCCACAGCTGAAGGGCTTTGCATGGGATGCTGTGGACTGCTCCCCGTTCGTGCTTGCTTCAATGCACTTCTCTTAGGGATGAGTGCAAGCTCTTCCGTGCGCTTCCCATGCAGCGCTGAGGCCGAAGACGATGCTTCTGACACATGTTCCCTTTGATGTCCCAGAGAAGCCAACGCTGCGTACCAGCAGTGTGCCAGAGGGCCAGTTTAGCCAGCACTGCTTGCCGAGCAGCGGGCAAGACGGTGATATGTATACAGACTGCGAAATCGGTGCGAGCCCAAACGTTTACTTGAGCCACATATTCGCCCCGGATCTGCGATTGATATCCCCGAGGGGCCCGAAGTCGAGGAAACACGCCCAGAGAAAAGAACATCAGACCGTCGGATCCAGATCCTCGACGTCCTCATTTTTGTTCACAGCGTCGCCCCCCACAGGTCACGACACCTGCCCAGAGACCGGTTGTGCATCCTGAGTCGGTTTCCGACGCTCCCGAAGCCCATTATAAGGGCCCCTGGAGGCCGAAAATGGACCAATACCTCGTGTCGTGGTTTTTGTCAAACCGCGAGGGGTTCCGGATCGGCGATCGAAATGAATCGGATCGGCGGAAATCGGGCGCTGAGTCGGGAAACGTCGAACCGGCGGAAATCAGAAGGCCAGCAGCCCTCCATATTCGGAAATCGGTACCCGAAGTCGGAATCCGCAGTCGAATCGAGTCGGAACCGGAGGCCGCCGAAATAAAATCGAACAGAATCGGAGGAATCGAAATGTCGGCGGCGACCGAGGGGGGAAGTGAGAAAGGGCGTGACTTCTCAGAAGGCTCGGGAGTCCCCTGGCCTTCACAGAAGCTTCACAAGCCTCCCCCGAAGACACAGCAAACCTCTTGGAAGGTTCTAGGGCTTCTGCGAAGTCCCGCCGCCTTCTGAGAAGGCCTAATCCTTAAGAAGAAAAGGCGCAATAGACTTGCACTCTTGGCGCTCCGCGCGGATTTCCTGGATCTGCGCGCCCGAGGCGCCGCCGGGGGTGGCCCAGGGCGCGGAGCCAAGAAATCCGCACGAAGCGCCAAAAGCTTATGTTTCTGGCGTGTTGTCTGCTTCGAGAGGCGGCTCTTGGCGTTAAGTCGGGCGTGTCCCTCTACAGGAGGAATATTCAAACATAGCCAAACAATCTAAAAAGTCTGGGGACGACTTCTTCTTTGACAATGTTCGAAGATCTGTTGAATCTCTGCCAACTATCTCCATTGTTTCTGGCGTGTTGCCTTCTTCGAGCCTCCCTCGGCTGCCCCCGTCTCGGGGGCGGCCAAGAGGGGGGCGCCCAAGAGGGGGGGGCGCAAATCATGGCCGGCCGCATGTGCGCGGCCCAGCGGGGGGGGCCAGGAACGCAAGGAAAGAGGAGGGGGCACCATGAAAGCCGAGGAAATACCATGGCCCACGCCATGATATCCGCCCCCCCTTGTCATCACCCCCCTCTTTGGGGAAGACTTTTTTAAGTCTGGGGGCTTTTTTTTTGTTGTTTTGTTTTTGTTTTCCAACCCGCCGAGGGTTACGACGGATTGCGTTTTTTTGTTTGAGGGCGACGAGGGGACGAGGGAGAGGAGGAGGAAGACGAGGCCGAGGGGGAAGCAACGACGAGCCCAAAGCGCAGAAACGACAACGCGGGAGGACAGGGAAAGAGAGGGGAGGCGTCGTCGTGTCGTCTCGTCTCGTCGCTCTGGGGACGATTTTATGTATTTTTGAATATGTTTTGACGCATTGCTCGATTATCTCAGTTGTTTCAGGCGTGTTGCCTTCTTCGAGCCTCACTCTGCCGCCCCCGACCCTCGCCCGCCGTCGAGGCCGCGCCCCGGCCCCGCGCGCGCCGCCGGGCTGGAACAGCTCCCGCTTGCGCTCCCAGACCTCGTCCCGGCGGCTCATGGGGGCCGCGGGCCCCTCTGCTCGGGCTGGGCGAGAAGGGGGGGGAAAAGCAATCCCTGACCTTCCAGAGAGCTATTTTTTAGCACTGGGGACCTAAAAACCTCAAACCTAAACAAAAAAAAAAAAAAAAAACGAAACGAAACAGCCTAAAACCAAGACGTAGAATAGCTCGGGGATAGGCTTCTAAGTCGCGTGCTATTCTTTAGCCCTCCTGGAAGGTCAAGGAAAGGGGGGGTTTGAGAATCAGCTCACGTGGCTGATTTTCCCGGCGCCTCCCGGCGCCGGAGGCGGCTTCTGTATCGAGGAATGGGCCTCTCGGCGGGGCCGAAACCAGCTGCATGCCGTAGATTTCGTAACCCCCCCTTTCCCAATCCCCCCCTTTCGCTCGGCCCGATCTGCCCCCGGGCGGCGGCTGGGGTGGGGGGGGCGGCGGCCTGTCCCCCTGAAGGGGGATTTTCGACGAAGCATTAAAAAAACTCCAAATATACTCCAGAATTGGCCAAAACGTTGTCAACAAATAATCCCCAGACCATTTTTTGACTGTTTTTGCATCTTCCCCCTGCAGAGGGACAGGCCCGACCTAAGAGTACAGCCGGCCCGTATCGTAAGGATGCGCGGCGGTCCGGATGCAAGGGACTTGGACGCTCACTTCGAAACTGGTCGAGCGGGGCGCGGCCAACGAGGGCGGGCCGAGGAGGCAAGGATGCAAGAGTACCCTTGGGGAGGTTGCCCATCCTTACCTATGCGGGTTGATTGGATAGGCCTCCCAGCTGGGGTCCTGGCAGCCTGCACACATAGGACGAGGCCGGGACGGAGGCAAAATCGGAAACCCTATCGGTCGGAAGCAGTGGGCAGAAGCATAAAGTATAGGAAGGCGCTGGAAGTGATTGGGCTTCCGCCCGCCCCCTGAAGAAACATAAAGTAGAAAGGCGTTGGAAGTAGATTGAGCTCCCGCCCGCCCCCTGAGGAGGAGGGAAGAGGGGAAACCGCTCGACGCTTGAGGTAGGAATACAGCCCGAGTAGATGTATGTAAGACGAGGCCAGGACAAAGGCAGAATCGGATAAGCATAAACCCAGACCCCTCGGGTTGTGAAAAGATCGCGACGGGTTTTTGTTTGTTAGATATTCTGTCTCTGGGGGCCCTTACTGGCCTCGGGACCGTCCACAAACGACGCCAGTCCCGGGGAAGGGGTCGAGTCCTCTGGGGGTCGACGTTGCGTAAAAATCACGACGTTGAGGGTCTGGGAATCGAGACCGTCCGAGATTCAGCAAATCACTAGGGTGCGTCGGGCGCCGCGGCCTTTCCAAAGCTTCCCGGAGCGCTCTGAGAGAGCGTTCCAGGACGCCCTGGAACGGACCTCTCCTCGTCCTCGCCCTGTCCGAAGATGGGGCCAAAGGATTAAACCGAATCGCCGATGCATCGCCGGTGCACCTGCGATGCATCGGCGATGCATCGGCGTGAGGCAAATAGGGCTCCACATCGAGCCGAATTGCCGAGGCATCGGCGATGCGCCGCGGTCCTCCGACCCCACCTGCTCGGACCCCTGCTGGGAGGCCTAGGATTGGAGGCCTGGAGATGGGCACCAACACCAAGACAAGGAGGCTGCCCCCACAGGGGGGAGATGATCCCAGATTTCGATGTTGGTGGCAATATGTCGGCCACCCTGGAAGCCAAGCTATTACCACCGTCACCGAGATCGGGATCTTCCTTCCCTCGGTGGAGGATCAGCGCCGACATTGGTGTTGGTGTCAATCTCTAGGCCTGCGATATAGGAGGGGCGGGGGGGGGGGGGGCGCACGTCTCGAGCCGAAGGCCGAAGGGGGAGCGCCAGAGCCAGCGGGCGCGGCGGCCGCACGCGGAGGAGCTCGGCCGGACGGGCGGCCCCGCGGACCTCGAGCAGCTCCGCCTGCTGGGCTCTCCGCCGGGGGGGAGGGGGCAAGCCCTGACCTTCTTCCAGAGAGCTATTGTTTAGCACTGGAGAACTAAAAACCTAAGAAACGAGACGAAACAGCCTAAAACCAAGACGTAGAATAGCTCTGGGATTGGTTTGTAAGTCGCGTGCTATTTTTTAGCCCTCCTGGAAGGTCAGGGAAAGGACGGCGACGATCCACTGGCGACGAACGCATCCAAAACATCCACGCGCGGAGGCCGTCGTCGTCGAAGTGGGCGTCGACGTCGTCGCGGAGGGCGTCGAGGTCGGCGGCGTCACTGGCGTCGTCGTCGACGGCGCCGTCCGCTGGGGCGCCGGCCCCGCCGGTGCAGCGCACCGGGACCACCCAGTGGCCGTTCTGCTGGCACCCGAGGGCCTCCTTCAGCGCGCCGGGGCCTCCCTCGACCATCACCAGGACCTCGGTCGTCGTCGTCGTCGCCGTCGAGGGGGGATGGGAAGGGGAGACTGACCCAGGGGAGGGGGAACGTCGACCTAGAAGCGGCGACACATCGCCGGCAGACCGGCGATAGGCAGCCGATGGCAAGTCCCCTCGTTCCTGGGCGGGGTGGGCCGTCGGACCCCCATTGTCGCAGAACGGGCGATTGGGAGTCGATGCGACCCCCCCTGAGCCGTGCCCCTTTGGCCTGACTCGATGGCGGCCGCTGACGCCAGGGGCGAGAAGGAAAAAGCGCCCTTAGGTCAATCCTACCCCCTCGTCCTCCTTCTCCGCGTCCTCCTCCTCCTCCTTCGTCTCGCTCCTTTCCTCGCCTGTGCGTCCTCCCTCCTCGGGAGGCGGATAGATGACCGAGGAAACGGAAGAGGGAAGAGGAGGGGGAGGAGGAGGAGGCGGAGGAGGAGGAGGAGGAGGAGGGGAAGGACCTCACCCTCCTCTTTCTCCTCCTCCTCATCTAGACGAAGAAAACAAGCATAAACATTAACTTTTGGCGCTCCGCGCGGAGTTCTTAAATCTGCGTTCCTCCCGCTCCTCCCGAATCCTCCTCTTCATCCTCCATCTCCTCCTCCTCCTCATCATCATCCTCCTCCTCCTCTTCCTCCTCCTCTTCCTCCTCCTCCTCCTCCTGTCATTTACTCCTGCTGTCTCGGGGCGCGGACGCTGTTGACGGCCATGATCGCCATCTTCTCGGCGTTGCTGCGGCCGTAGAACACAGTCTTCCCGTAATCCCACGGCGCGAACACGGTCGAGCCGTCCTGCGCGGCAGCCGCGGCCCGCGAGGGGGGCTGCGCGAGGGAAGGAAGCCTGTGGGAGGAGGAGGAGGAGGACGACGACGACGACGAAGACGACGACGACGACGACGACGACGACGACGACGACGACGACGACGACGAGGGGGAACTCGAGCAGGACCAAGAGGACGAGGGGGGAGCAGGAGCGGGAGCAGTGCGAGGAGGACGAGCAGGCAGCAGGAGCAGGAGCAAGAGGACGAAGAGCGGGAGCCAGTTGGAGCAGAAGGGGCAGGAGGAGGGGCGGGGGTAGGGGGAGGACGAGGAGGAGGGGTAGAAGGAGGCGGGCGCGGCGTCAGAGGCCTCCCTAATTAGGTCCGAGTGCATTGGCGACGCTAGGGTGGAGAGAATTCGCCGCACCGCTGCATCGACGATGCTGCTCGATCCTCCATCACCATCTGCTCGGACCCCATTTGGGAGGCCTGGAGGAGGGAGGACGAGGAGGATCAGGGGGAGCCATTGGAGCTGGGGGCAACATCAGACGGTGGGCTCTTGAGAGGCGCTCCCTCTAACAGAAAGCCCCCTGGAAGCCCCCGATCCAATGCCTTCTCGCGCTGCGAACGAATCACGACGAAGGAGTTTTGGGCAGTGTTCGGCCTCCAGGGACCCTTACGGGGCAGGGGATCCTCAACACTGTCTAGCCGGCGGCCGCAAGGGATCAGACGGCATGTGCAAAAGGGATCCTCGAAACACAAATGGGAATGAAAAACTGGCACGGGTGAAGGGGTCCAGGCTTCCAGAGGCAAGCGTCGTGAAGAAGGGATCCCCCCTAAGAAGCCTCCTGCCTTCTCAGAAGGCCGACCCTCCGCAGCCCATTCGCAGGACCCCTCCCAGGGTCCACCCCGGCCGGATTTCCAAAAACTGCGTCTAGATGTGGCGGCGAGAGCAGCCAGAAGCCTCCCGAACACCTCCGAATCGCTATCGTTTCCGTCGCCGTGTGCCCGTCTGCGCGCCGCCAGATCCTCGAGAACGCGAGTCTTCGCCTTGTCCTTGAACAGGGTCTCGATGTCCGGGTCCGTAGTGGGGAGAACCATGTAGGTACGGTGGGGGCGCTTGCGCTTGATCCTGGCTCCTCCTCATCCTCGGCATCCTCCTCGTCAATACCACCATCACCATCGTGTTTCTCCTCAAGTCCAACCGTATGGCACGGGCGCGCGAAAAGGATGCAAGAGGGCACTGGAAGGCCATGTCAACACTTTGCGACAGGGGCGCGGCCGGCGAAAGCGGTCAAGGGTGAGCCGAAGGGGAAGGATGCAAGGGACACCTTTGAAAGTTGCTCATCCTTGCTATGCGGGTTGACTGCACCACCATCACCATCGTGTTTCCCATTCTGGCTCCTCGTAATCCTCCTCCTCCACCTCCTCCTGCTCCTCCTCCTCTGCCTCCTCCTCCTCCTCATCATCACCACCACCATCATCAGCAGCGGCAGCAGTATCATAATCATCAGCAACATCATCATCAGCATAGGCATCAGCATAGACATCAGCATCAGCATCAGCATCAGCATTAGCATCAGTACAGCATCAGCATCAGCATCAGCAGCATCATCATCATCATCATCAGCATCAGCATCATCATCATCATCATCAACATCATCATCAGTATCATCATCATCATCATCATCATCATCATCATCATCATCATCATCATCATCATCATCATCATCATCATCATCATCATCATCATTATCAGCAGCAGCAGCATCATCATCATCCTTCTCCCCTTCATCATTGTCACTATGGCCCTGCTGCTCTGGGAGTCATGGTCAGCATCATCACCAGCGTCGTTATATTCAGACTCACGTTCGTGAACAGATTCGCAGTCGTGCTCACACGGACTCCAATTCAAACGATCGCCTACATCCTCAACAAGATCCATGTTCTGCACCGCCTGTCCGTGGGTGCGGTTAATCAGAAGCCGGGGCTCGCGGATCGCGACAGATGTACCAACTTTGTCAAGCGGCCGGATGTACATTCACGAGCGGTGATCATCCGTCACCGTGCCTCTGGCACGAAGCGGAGTGCCCCAAGGCGCATGAAGCACTGAGGGGTAGACGATGTGCTGCTGCTGCAGCGAGCTTCGTAAATCTGTAGAAAGGCCCGGAACAACCGGGTCCCAGGCCCTCCTGGGGTATCCCCGGCGGGCTCCTGTGAGTCATGAGGTGTTTCCTGCGCCTCCTGTGGGACGCTGTGACCCCCCAGAGCGACCTCCCGAACCCTCCCATGAGTCCAAGAGGGCCCCGAGTCGCCATACGATCGCCCCAAGACGCCCACGATGGCCTCAAGATGGCCTCAGAGACCTCCACGACGCCACAAGAGGCCTCCAAGAGGCCTCCCAAGCGGGCCCCAAGAGGTCCGCCGCCCCCTGCTTGCAGGGGTGCACGGCGTGCTGGACGATTCAGGTTTTGGTTTTGGTTCTTTTTCTAAAAGAACTCCCCAGTGGGCTTCGGCCCGTCCCGCCGGCCACCCGTAAATCTCACAAAACCCATCTGTCAATGCCCAAAAACGGCCGTTTCGCTCGGGACATCCTCAAAAAATCGCGAAGATGGCCCAAGATGGCCTCCAAGTCCGCCCGAGATGGTCCAAGACGGCCTCCAAAACGGCCCAAGAGAGTCCAAGACGGCCCAAGACGGCCCAAGAGGCCCCCCAGAGGCCTCCCAGACGGCCCAAGAGGCCTCCAAGAGGTCCTCCAGGAGAGTCCGAAGAGGCCAAAATCATTGATTTTCCTTTGGTTTTTGAAGGATTTTGGCATTTGCGCCTTTTCGGCTCTCCGACGGCTCAAGACGGCCCAAGAAGCCCCCAAGATCGCCCAAGAGGCCCCCAAGAGAGCCCCATGATGGCCCAAGTGGCCTCCAAGATGGCCCCTAGAGGGCCCCAAGAGGGCCCAAGAGGCCTCCAACACGCCCAAGATGGCCTCCAAGACGCCCAAGATGGCCTCCAAGACGGCCCTGGAGCATTCCAAGCGGGCCCCAAGTCGGCCCATAGAGGCCCCCCAAAGGGCTTCCGACGGCTTCAGACGTGCCAGGAACCCACCAAGATGGCCGAAGTTGGCTCGAAGCTGGCCCGAGACGGCCCAAAAAGCCCCAAAGATCGCCCAAAGCTTGCCCAAGAGGCCTCCAAGACGGCCAAGATGACCTTCAAGATGCCCACGTGTTCCCCGAAGGCTTTCCAAACCGATTCGGGGAACACGTGGTCCGATAGCTTGGCAGGTCTGGCCTCAACGTTCGGCCACATAGGCGCTCCCAAAAAGGCAGGGGGCGGCGGTGATTCGCCGTAGGCGTCTTCGATACGGTTTTTACAGGATTTGGGCGTCATCGCCTGTTCGGCTTTCCAGCGCTCGAAGACGGCCCAAGAGGCCCCCAAGACCAGCCCAAGACGGACCAAAAGGCCTTCAAGAGGGCCCCAAGACGGCCCAAGAGGTAAAAGACGGCCCAAAAGGGCCCCAAGACGGCCCCAAAACGGGCCCAAGAGAAGGAACGCAAAACGAAAATCCGAGCCTTCCGCCCCAAGAGGCCTCCAGGAGGCTCCAAGGTGCGCCCAAGAGGCCCCAAGAGGGCCCCCAAGAGGCCCCCGAGAGCCCCCCAAAGGCCCCCAAGAGGCCAAAAAGAGGCCCCCAAGAGGCTTAAAAGAGAGGCCCCTGAGAGGCCCCCCACGAGATCCCAACGATCATGCAAGATGCTTTCTAGCCACAAACCAGGCAAGGTAGCGGGATGGGCCGAAGGCCGTTTGATCTCCGTATCTGCACCCTCGCGGTCTGAAATCTGTGGCGCGGCCCCTCGGAGGTGCGGACTCGCGCGTGCGTTCCGCGCTGAGCATCCGCGAAAGCACGGCCCGTCTCCGCGGGGCCGCGGCCCAGGGGCCCGGCCCGCGAGGCCGCGGATGCGGATGCCGAACGGGATCGCTTCTTCCCCGGGCGTGCGTTGGCAAGTCCGAAGGGTTCGCCTCCAGGATGGACACTGGGGATGGACACTGGGGATGCACACTGGGGATGAGCACTGGGGATGGACACTGGGGACGGACCCTGGGGATGGACGAAGGAGTAAGAGCTGGAAAGGTATTTCGCCCACGAGGTATTGCAGAATTGCCAGGGCCCCCCTGGCAACGGGGTCGAGCTCGAGAGCCTCTGGCGCCCAGGCACCAGCCGGGCGGAGCGGGTCTCGCCGACCTCGCGCCCGAGGCGAGCGGCACAGCCCCGAGGCACCCCCGGACAGACCGCGCCCAAAGGTCGTGCTCTTTCCCCTCGGTCTCCCCGTGCACCTCCTCCCTCTCCCCCTCTCAGACTGGTGTTCCTCCTCCTCCTCCTCCTCCTCCTCCTCATCATCATCATCATCAGCAGCAGCAGCAGCAGCAGCAACATCAGCAACAGCAACAGCATCATCATCATCATCATCATCATCATCATCATCATCATCACCATCATCATCATTATCATCATCATCATCATCATCATCATCATCATCATCATCATCATCATCATCATCATCATCATCATCATCATCATCAGCAGCAGCATCATCATCAGCATCATCATCATAAGCATCAGCAGCAGCAGCAGCAGCATCAGCATCAGCATCATCATTATCATCATCAACAACAATCGCCTCCTTATCCTCCGCCTCCTCCTCCTCACATCGATCCACCCTCTGCCCCTCTCTGAAATTAGATCCCAGAGCTGTCCCATAGCGCGTTCTGGCCTGGGCATCGACGGGTATGCGATCCTGCTCCTCTGCCTCCAACTCCCTTCCCCTTCGGCCTCCTCCAAATCCTCCTCATCCTACTCAGTATCCTCCTGCTCATGCTCCTGGTTCTGCTCCCGTTCCTGCTCCTGTTCCTGATGCTCCTCCTCCTCCTCCTCCTCCTCCTCCTCCTCCTCCTCCTCCTCCAATTCCAACTCCAACTCCTCCTGTTCCTCCTTGTCCTTCTCCTCTCCTCCTCCCCGTCCGATCTTCATGTTCCTCCTGCTCCTCCTCCTCCTCCTCCTCCTCCTCCTCGTCCTCCTCCACCCGCTGGAGAGAACCCCTGAAACCGTGACGGCGGGAGAGATGTGACCATAAGGCAAAGAATCCTGACGCAGATATGAGTACTGCGACCGCCATCGTGCTACGATGAGCCTAGGAGGTCCTCGCAAAAACAAGCTGTCCGCAACCGTCCCAAAACTTGTCCATCTTGGGTGCCTGAGCTTGTTTGCCGCTGGCAAGCGGGCCCCAGTGCACTGCACACTGCCCCACGATAGCTCCCAGAGAATGGGGCGGAGACAATGGCGGAAGTAGACGTCGTCGCAGATCAAATCTGATCCCAGCGGGGAGTAGGCGCTGGGTCGCTCAGCGATGGTCCCTGCGGCACGTCAGGACCCCGCGGGGGTTGTGACCTGGGCAGACCCGTGCAACTTCCGCCAGCACTGTCTCCCAGGCGTATACTATGTACTGGCTAGCAGAATGATGCTTGGTGCGCGGTTGTAGGGTGCCGCGGAAGGGGGGGGGGGGCGCAAGACAGCCCTTGCGGGCCCGCACCAAAGGTAACTCTGGCGCAGGGTCGCTCTCACGCGTAGCCGAGTGGAGTGGGCAGCGCATTGAGCTGAAAGCCGATGCAACCAGCGAGTCATCCTATTTACCAGATGCCACCACTGGCAGGCTGATTGGCTCCATGCCGAGGGGCGCCCAGTGCTCTCCGCGGCCCCCTGGCTGGATTTTCCTGGGGCCCGCGCCGGGAGAATGCGACGACTGAGCCCTCAGCCCCGTGCGACAAGCGGGTATCCAGGCGACACGTCCCCATATACCCGGCGACTCGAAAATTAGCCTGGCGAAGGACCCAACAAGATGCAGTTGTGAGTGCCGCAGTTGTGAGGATCGTCGTCGGTGGAACGCCCTGTGGCACCACAAAACGTGTGAGGTGCGTAACGATTTAGGGAGGTGGGCGGGTGCATGTGAACCCTCCCACTGGGACCTTCGGTGGGACTCCCTATAGGGCCACGAAACGTGTGAGAGGTGTGCCGAAACGGGCGTGACGCCCACCTGCGAACTGCGCCACTGGGACCT